GTTAAGCAATTAACAAATTATGTTCATTGCTTCACTTTAGAACGGCTTTGATAATTTTGTCATCCTCAATATGCATTTGACTTTTTTTACATTGATGCAATTCATCCTTTCAGCTACACCATTATGTTGTAGTGTTTCAGATTCTATTATCTCATGTTTGATCCCATGCTTAGAACAATACTCTTCAAAGTCTTTGAATGCGTATTCCTCACCATTATCAGTCTGAATACACTTTAAAGGTAGCTCTATCATCCTTTCCATCATGACATAAAATTTTTGAAAGTACTATAATACCTGACTTTTGTTTTTCAATATATACACCTAAATCTTATGTGAAGTATTATCAATAAAAGTAATAAAATACCTGTTAACAACTAATGACTTAACCTCAATAGGATCACATACGTCAGAATAAATCAATTATAATCTGTTTTCTTTTCTCTAAGAACTCTTAAGAAAAGAAACTTTATGATACTTGTCAAATGAACTATGATCACACGAATTAAAAGACATACCTTTGGTCAAGAGAATGAGAGACTGTCTTACTAAAACTTGTAATCCCTTTTCACTTATGTGTGCTAACCTATTGTGCTATAAGTTTGCTGAAGCATCATCCTCAACAACATTTATCTGGTTACCATTCAATTGTATCAATGTCTTATACATTATGTAGCATAATTTTTCTCTTGCAATTATCATAGATCCTTTGAGAAGCTTTCATTACTTATTTTTTTTTATCAATTATCATATCCTTCTTTATCAAAGATATTAATAGCAAGTATGTTTATTCTCATATTTGAAATATGTTTGACATCCCTTAAAGTTAACATGTAGCTCGTACCCGTACTAGTTTATACAACAATATCACCAATATCAACAATCTGTGACATAGTATTATTTTTCATTTTAGAACAACCATAGTCTTTTACTTTTTAAGTTATAAACAACTTTATCTTAGAAATATGATGATATGCCACTCTTGTGTCAGCTATCCACTCAATGTCAGGATCACTGATATGATTACAATTATCATGTGTACAAATAAAAAAAATTAAATCACCATCTGAATTCATTATTGTAACATTGTCATCATCTGAACTTTTACTTTTTTCATCTTTTCGCTCTTACTTCAAGATTTTACAATATCATTTTATATGACCCGTTTTACCACAATGAAAACACTTCACTTATTTTTTAACTTAGCTCTATGTTTAGACTTATTATGATCTTTTGAGTTTTAACTTCTGTTGATATTTTTACCCTTATTTTTTATGATCAGAGTTTGATTCTCAAGGTCTAAATCTTTTTTTCTTGCTTCTTCATTAAGCATAATGTCATTTACCATATTCAATGTCACATTGTAATCAGGAGTTGAATTAAGAACAGTCACAACTAGAGTATTCTAGCTATCTGGCAATGAACCAAAAAAAAAATAATGCTTTCACTTCATCATTTATTTTAAGCTCTACAGTAGTCATTTGATTAAATATATTTTAAAAATTACTAAAATGCTTTGTAATCGATCGTCTATCTCTGTACTGTAAAGTTGTAAGCTTTTTAACAAACATAACTTTATTCAAACATGTTTTTCTCTTATATAATGTTGCCAATTTTTTTTCAAACAGTGTGGGTATCTATCTCCTATGCTACATGATGGAATATGTTGATATCAACTTATTTTTTGATTGTAGCCAATGTTTTTTTACTTAACTTTTTTCAGCTTTCATCTTTTATATTTGTTGGTTTAGTTTAATCATCCAATATTGACTCATACAAATCTTTATAGTATAAATAATCTTTCATCACAGGCTTTCAAATTGAATAATTTGATGCTAACAATTTTATAATGAAACTTGTATCACATTCTATGATCTCAAATAAAATTTACTTCTGTTTTGAGCTGCTTCTGTATTAATGTTTTAAAATAACTCTTGCTCTGATACCACTTGTTGGGCTTGAAGTAATAAACATAACAATGTAGAAGCAATATATCGCAATAAACTCATAGTAATAAACAACAATCAATAATCAACAACGCAAGAAAAATAAAGCACACTAAAATTTACGTAAAAAATCTTTTAGTGTAAATGAAAAAAAATCATGGACTACTAAAAAAAACTCTACTATCAAATAATGGATATATGTTATTCTCTAGCTGAAACTAGAGTTAATCAACAACTAGAGAGATAATTAGAGAAATCTCACCAAATAGGTGACTCAACAAATACACATTAGATTTGTTTCTAGAGAGTTTCAAACCCGATCTTCACCGTTTAAAATATAAAACTTTGAATCATAAACCTGTTGACAAAATTTTAGCTCAATTGGACCATGGATCGACTTTTGTTTAACCAACTCTCTTTTCTTTCTTTTCTCTCTATTTTTTAACTTCTTTTTCCCCTTTTCTTTTCTTGGTTTGCTGCTCCACCTTATTTTTCACCTTAAAACAACCCTTTATCTATTTTTATTAAGTAGTTAAGATTCTATGTAAAAAGAAAGACTAAAGCTTATGGCATTTGATTAGTTCAAAACCAATTACATGGGATTGGACCCTACTTTCCTAACAAGTGTTGCTTTTGATAATATAAACCAGGAATTAAGTGAGAGTGGGGGGTTAAGTAGAGATATATTTAAAAAGTAAATATTAGAACAATTGTACATGTTTTTTGTAGTAGTTTATTGCTTCTTGGATAATGAACATAATACTTATATATAAAAAAAATCATATTGTTTATATAATGAAATAAATTGTTTGATTTTAGTTTGTCACAAATTATTTTATATATTTTATTGTTTTAGATATATGTTAAAAAATTAGTTAAATATTTTGATTATTATAGAAATATTGTCTTAGGTTCAATTAATCATATCATATATTATATTATATTACATGATACATAGTTACTAGATAAGATTTATTGATGTGGATATTTGTATGGATAGCTTTTTTTTGACATGTAAAAAAATTTCTAAAATTTCACTTTATAATGACACATAAGATGTTTTCCAATTTTAGACTATTTATAAAAAAATTAAAAATTATTTAGTTATACAAAACTTTTAAAATTTAAATGGAAGACAGATTCATATATATGATAAAAATTTATAATATTAGCTATAATGAACTCCCTATTATTTTTTACTATAAGTGTTATTCCAATTTTAGCTATATCTTTTATAGGAAAATCTTAATTTAAAAATTTAAGTACTAGTTTCACATTATCAACATTTATTTCGGTAAATTTAAATTTAAAACAATTAAATTGATAAAATTATCTGTTTAGAATAAAAAGTAAATTATAATATAAATTTGAAAAATTAAAATTTAATCTTATTTAATTCATATTTCATTAGATATTTAGTTTAGGGCTTAGGATTTAAGACTTAAGGCTTAGTTTGTTATTGTTTCATTTCTTATTGTTTCATTCCCTATGTAGATATATCTTTTTCTTTTTATTTTAAATCTTAAAATTAGATTTTTTACCTTCATAAATTTTTTTATATTCAGTTATATTTTAAACATTTTAAAATTTAAAAAGGTAAATATCCCTTATTATATTTTTTAAATTCAAAATATATTTATCAATTTAAAAATTATCTACACACTTAATTATCATACAATATATCAATAAATGATAAGTGTTACACCATTAATTTTTTTTATTTTACAACTTTTTTTTTGAAAAAAAATATGTTACTTTTATAATTTTATTCTTATAAAAAATTAAAACTTATTTCAGTTCAGTTTTCCTTTAAAGCTTTTTTACTAACTTTTTCTTTCATATTTTGTTCAGGATTGAGACACAGTGAGTTGGGATATAATTGAATTTGATAAACAAATGTGGGCATTTGTTTCATGTAGTTTTATAATGTGTTTTTATGGGTTTTATGTTTTTATCATTTATTATCTATAATAAAATAAAATATAAAAATATAAAATAATAATAATAATGATACATATAAATATAAAAGACATAAAAACAAAAAAAAAGTTACTTTTTTATTTTCTTCTTTTGTTTTAAATATTTTTACAAAAAATTCTAATGTACAATAAATTGAAAAATTATATATTTAATTAAATGATTAATAAAAAATATAACACTCATATCATACCAAGAAAAATTAATAAAAAGTACATCGCAACTTAAGAAATATTATATTTATCTATATTTTAATTTTATTATATTATATTTAATGTGATAGTGTCCCATTCAGAAATGGGTTGACTTGTTAGGAATTAGTATAATTATTCAAATTATTATTTAAAATTGTCAAGTATTGAAATCTTACCATTAAAATTAAAAATTTAATATTTTCTAAATTAGATAAATAGACCAATAATTAATACAACTATAGTTGAAAAAAAAGGGACAAATAGCATAACTCTATAAGTCAATATTTGGCTATTTAACAAGGAAATCAAACCAAATTTCTCACTCCCTTTCAAAAAAAAAAAAAAACGTAAAACATAAAGTTGCAATATTGTGTTTAATTTCCGATTAATTAGTCAACTTGATCGTTTCATTAGTTTTCCGCAAAAAAATTTATTATATTCTTGATTCTCATTATCATCAGACTACAGACATAAAAAAGGAAGAAGATGGGCCGTAAATGATATATGAGAGAAATTAAAAGTCCTTATAACGAAATATGGGAAAGTTGTATGGCCTTATCAGGCTAATATCAGAAAATACTTTTGGTCCTCATCAGTGTATCACCCCCACTTATCTACATTATCGGTCCATCTTATTATAAGCCCCCGAATCATAAAATAAAAAATAAAAAAAATAAAGAACCATCACCCCTCCAAACCATATCCATCATCCATTTTTTTTTTCTTTTCTCTCTTAATTTTAACTTTATCCAAAAACAAAAAATGAAAAAAAAAAGAAAGGGAGCTTGATCGAGTAAGATGGATGCACGTGGTAGCCCGTACTTTCAAGTAGCCTTTATATTTTATATATAAAGCCCCTCCCTTCCCCTTTCTCCATCTCTCTCACACTATACCATCAGTCTTTTTCTTTTGTTTTCTTTCTCTCTCACATATTTTTTCCTCCCATGAATAAAGACACCTTTGTCATTACAATTACAGTTTATTGACATTCTACCGTAACGAATCTGTGATCGAAAGTTTGTTATTTCTGCTTCATTTTTCTGTTTAGTTGTTCTTAAAGATTCTTGAAGGTTCTTTATTTCAAGGGAGAAAGTAGAGAGGAGAGAGAAAGAGACCGAGAAAGCTTTGCTGTATGTCAGTAGAGAAAGCTTTGCTGTATGTCAGTAGATTGTATTGAGTCTTACTACGGTGGATTTGGCGAGCTTGCGAACCCTTTACAATGGCCTCAGCTAAGAAAAAAGCGACGCTTCTTTCTTCTTCCCCCTCTTCCCCTTCTTCATGTTGCGAACCCGACTCGGTTGTTTCCGCCGCGCCTGCCTCTGCCTCCGCCTCCTCTTCCGCATCCAATGTCCTGCAGGAGTGGTCCGTTGCCTCTACGGATCGCGGCAACGATCAACGGGCTACCAAAGCTGCCTTGGCGTCATTGATTCGCCCCGTTGATTCTCTTCCTGAAACTTCCACAGCCGCCTCCACCAAAGGCATCTCTCTCTTTCTTTTATGGATATGAGAAATGTGTTAGTCTCTCGGATGATCTTCATTTTAGATCGTGGCGGTTTTACATGTTATTAAGATTTTCTTTTTCGATTATTTCATGTTTTTTCGGATTTTTTATTTACTGCATGATCTCGTTTCCCGTGGATTAATCATCCATGGATATCATGAACTAAAGTCTGGATAACGATTTAAAAAAAAAAATTAACTATGGTTTTAGTTTGTATCAAATGTATATGTATTTCTATTATTATTTATTTATTTATTTTATAGTTATTCTGAAAGAATATGGGAGTTTAAGATTTCTGTGAGAGAGGGCGACCAGTTTGACCTTTTATCTTTATTTACTCTGCTTCTTGCTGACTAATTTCTTTTAACTTATGTTTTTCTTATATAAAAAAAAAGAAAATAAAAAATCAAAAGGAAAAACTTGAATAATTTTATGTTTACTACAACGTGTTTGAGAGTTATGCAGGTATTTGGGTATTTTGCACTTTATTTCTTCAATTGCTTATGTGGACATCGATTTTTTTCCTTTTTGTATTCAATAAGGTTGCTTCGTTCATCGTGCAGGGATCCAAATTTTGACAAGGGCTCAAACCAGCCATCCTTTGGACCCTTTATCTGCTGCCGAGATCTCTGTAGCAGTTGCTACGGTCAGGGCTGCTGGAGCCACTCCTGAGGTTGCCAATTTCTTTATAATGCCTTTCTTGTTGTCCTCCATTAAATCGTATTCAAATCATTGGGTTTAAGGATTTTTTTTTTTAATGTTTGTACGTTGTTTAAAATGTTGAGCTAAGTAATATATATATTTTTATTTTCTTTTCAGCTAAGAGATAGTATGCGCTTTGTCGAAGTGGTTCTTTTGGAGCCAGACAAGCATGTTGTTGCTTTGGCAGATGCGTATTTCTTCCCACCTTTCCAACCCTCATTACTTCCCAGGACCAAAGGTGGCCCAGTGATCCCTACCAAGCTCCCTCCGAGGCGAGCTAGACTGGTTGTCTATAACAAAAAATCCAATGAAACAAGTATATGGATTGTCGAGTTATCAGAAGTACATGCAGTAACTCGAGGAGGACATCACAGGGGAAAAGTAATATCATCACAAGTTATTCCTGATGTTCAGCCTCCTATGGTAAATCTGTCTCCTTGCATGACATTTGTGCTTTATGTTTTTCCAATTGTTAGATTTTAGACTTATTCCACTTAAGTGCTATGTTGCTTAGACTCGTTATATTCCATGAAGTACCCAATTTACGTGTGTATGGAGGTCCAACCCTCCAAATATATAGAAAAACTTTAGCATAACTTGAATGTACCCATGTGGGATACATATCCATAATCCTAAGCCCCCAGTCCGACTAACATAGGTTTAGTGGAACTTATTGGAGAGAGAATTATATTTTTAGCAAAAGCATTACCATTTCACATTTTATTACTCACTTTTGAACTCCTTCCAGGATGCTATGGAATATGCTGAATGTGAAGCTGCTGTAAAAGGCTTTTCTCCATTCCGAGAGGCAATGAAGAAGAGGGGTATTGAGGACATGGAGCTTGTGATGGTTGATCCTTGGTTGGTTAAATCTGCATCTCATTAGTGTATAAAATGATTGCCTAAGTTTTTAATTTGTGTCCTGCTCTTGTACTTAATACTTTTGGGTTTACTTACATTTTCAACAGGTGTGTTGGTTATCATAGTGATGCTGATTCTCCTAGCCGCAGACTTGCAAAACCACTTATATTCTGTAGAACCGAGAGTGACTGTCCCATGGAAAATGGCTATGCTCGCCCAGTTGAGGGAATTTATGTACTTGTTGATATGCAAAAGATGAAGGTGATTGAGTTTGAAGACCGTAAGTTTGTTCCCTTACCTCCAGCTGATCCTTTGAGGAATTATACTCCTGGAGAAACAAGAGGTGGTGTTGATCGAAGTGATGTGAAACCCTTACAGATTGTTCAGCCTGAAGGTCGAAGCTTTCGTGTTAATGGGTGCTTTGTAGAGTGGCAGAAGGTAGGTGTGCAGTTGTTCAATTGGTTATATTTCTTGCTAAATTCAGAAACTCATATGAATGTTCTCCTTGTTTGGCTATTGCTGACAGTGGAATTTCCGTATCGGTTTCACCCCAAAGGAGGGTTTGGTTATATACTCTGTTGCATATGTTGATGGTAGTCGAGGTAGGAGGCCTGTTGCTCATAGGTTGAGTTTTGTGGAGATGGTTGTGCCATATGGGGATCCAAATGATCCACATTACCGAAAAAATGCTTTTGATGCTGGGGAAGATGGCCTTGGAAAAAATGCACATTCTCTCAAGAAGGTTTGATTATTATTCTGCCTACTCTTTATACTATAATTTTCGCAGTATACAGTACTCTTTTTCCTAATGAAGTTAAAATGTTCAAAACGAAATTGCTGTTACAGGGATGTGATTGTTTGGGGTATATCAAATACTTCCATGCTCACTTTACAAATTTCACTGGAGGTGTTGAAACGATTGAAAATTGTGTCTGTTTGCATGAAGAGGATCACGGAATTTTATGGAAGCATCAAGATTGGAGAACAGGTTTGGCTGAAGTTCGAAGGTCTAGGCGGCTAACAGTGTCTTTCATATGCACTGTTGCTAACTACGAGTATGGATTTTACTGGCACTTTTATCAGGCAAGTCTAATTCTAGTTCCACATATGCTAAATTGTGTTGCCAAAGATGCAAATGTCTACTAGATCATTTTAAAACTGAATGATAAAGGGTTTCTGTTGGAAAGGTTTATAGAAGTCTTAAGGGGCATTTAAGGAATTTGTATAATGAATCTTGTCTGTGTTCTGCTTTAATGAGTTGTTCACATCTCTTTCCTCTTCAACCCTAGTGAAAAAACTGCAATCAATATTCTTTTGGGAACTTTTATGTTGGTTGAACTTTGTTTGCTCCGTAAAGATTTTCTTAGAATTTTTGTTATTGGTCACTACAGGATGGAAATATTGAAGCTGAAGTTAAGCTTACAGGAATTCTTAGCTTAGGAGCATTGCAGCCTGGAGAATCTCGAAAATATGGTACAATGATTGCCCCAGGTTTATATGCACCGGTTCATCAACACTTCTTTGTTGCTCGTATGGACATGGCTGTTGATTGCAAACCTGGTGAAGCTTTCAATCAGGTATGTTGCTTTGAATTTTGAGGTTATTATTTGCTTCCTAAAATTTTTCGCTACACTCTATAACATAGTTTCTACTATATTCCTAGGTTGTTGAGGTTAATGCTAAAGTTGAGGAACCTGGGGAAAATAATGTTCACAATAATGCATTCCATGCGGAAGAGACCCTGCTTGAAACTGAACTGGAAGCTATGCGTGACTGTAATCCCTTAACAGCTCGCCATTGGATTGTAAGGACAACTTATCTTTGGTGTTGAATTGCTTGTATGTGTTGCTTGTTTGGGCTTAGCTGTTCTATTCCTAGTATGCCTTGGATTTCCTTGTTATCAGTGATGAATTTCTAATCATCTTTGATTTTCTATATAGGTTTTTTTACTGCATAGAAATAGTAATATTTTATGTTCTCCAGAATATTTTAGCGAGTGACTTTTATTTCTCCTTTCTGACAAAGTGTCTAGTTTTCTTTTGTTACTACTACTTTCTGATAATAACATGATCTCTCTCCTTCTGTCACTCTGTGTTTTTATTCTGTTTCCATGAGTTGGTTCCCTATAATAGTATTATTGTAGAATATCCCTTCTATCATCTGATTTTCTAACTCTTTGGTCATTTTTTAATCCAGTGCAATTTTGGTTTCAAAGAATATCCCTTATAATTTTTTTAGTCCTCAGCCAATTTTCAAAGATTATATTCTAGCTTATAGCTGTCAATTCTGTCATTTTAAGTTTTAACATGTATTTAATTTTATTGGCACCACCATCTGCTTATAGCTTCAGCTGAGGTGCATCCTGCGTGTTGTTTTTAGTGTTGATTGCACTTAGAACATATTTAATGTTGGACAAAGTATTCTGATGGCAAAGCAAACAATGCATGATCTCAACATAGAAATGAGATCTTCTTATATTGGGGGTTTTGACCCCTTTACCAGAAAAAGTAGTAGTGAGATATGCATTGTCACATTGATTGATCTTCTTAGAGAAAATATTTTTAATTGTTAATCATTTGGTTGTGAGTTTCATTATCTTGATAAAAGTAAGATGTGTTGGTATACCTAGTATTGTAATGCCGGAAGCTTAATCATGCCTATCCTTTTATCTTATAAATTAAAAATTTATGTTCATGTGCTCAATTTTTATTGTGAATGCATATGCTGTATAACATATTCCAGGTGAGGAATACGAGAACAGTAAACAGGACTGGTCAGTTGACTGGCTACAAGCTTGTACCTGGCTCGAACTGTCTACCGCTAGCTGGTTCTGAGGCCAAGTTTTTAAGAAGAGCTGCTTTCTTGAAGCATAACCTTTGGGTTACTCAATATGCTCCTAATGAGATGTTTCCTGGAGGAGAGTTTCCAAATCAAAATCCACGTGTTGGTGAAGGATTGGCTACATGGGTTAAGCAAGATCGTGTTCTAGAGGAAACTGATATAGTTCTCTGGTTGGTTGAATTGGTCTTTCTTTTCCATTTATAACTTTATTAAAGCATCAATTTTTAAACACTTTATGCTTCACAGTTGATTGCAAATAAAGCACTGATGCTATCTCAAGCAAACTTTATGTTTTGATAATTGTACTTCTCAAGTTGATGATGAAGAACAAACCATTGTCCTTTTCCTTAAAAATCTTCTTTATGGTCGGCCTGGGAATACTTTTGGTCTTGTCCTTGGAGAATGGTTGTAGTCTTGAATGCTTTTCAAAATTTTCCAGCATATTACACTATATTTTTTGTGATCTGTTTTACTTGGACTGACCATTCTGACACATACTGCAGGTATGTTTTTGGAATCACCCATGTCCCTCGATTGGAAGACTGGCCTGTTATGCCAGTGGAGCGCATTGGTTTCAAGCTGATGGTAACCATCTAGTTGATTTGAGGTTTCAGTCCTGTATTAGAATTGCTTTAGCAATCTCATTGCTTTGTGAACCAGGCGCTTTGATCAAACGGTTCACCAACCTGCTTTAGGTGTTAGATTCCATTAAAGTTTCGGGGTTTGATCCTCAACACTTGCAAATTTTTCTTCCCCGATTCCCCTTAGGCCTTGGCCTCCTTTGTTTAAAAAAAAAAAAAATCTCATGGCTTTGTTCTTGCTTATGACCACTGGCAGTGTTAGTTTATAAGGTTTTAGGTAGGGCTTCCTTCCCCCTAGCAATTAGGGAATAATGTTGTCACCTTGTAAAACTAGTATTTTGGAACTAAAATCATTTTCCACTTCAACACCAAAATTTACCCTTTTATTGTTTTAACTTTTATCAACTAAAATTGCTCGAAAATTTTGGTGATCATTTTAGCTTGGTTTTGTTGTTACTCGTTACTGGGGTTTTTTGAGTGAGATTGCTGAGCAGGTCTTAACTGTTTGTTGTGTGGTTGCAGCCGCATGGATTCTTTAACTGCTCACCGGCTGTAGATGTCCCACCTAATGCGTGCGAATTGGATAGTAAAGACAATGATATCAAAGAAAATGTGGTGCCCAAGTCTAATGAGAATGGTCTGCTGGCAAAACTATGATGAGATCTCTGGTTATGCAATACAAACAGTACTGACATTCCATCTAGTTTTACCAATTACCTTCCCTGATGTAGAATTTCATATAAGTCGAATACTAAAAACAAGTCTTGTTTTTAAGTGTTTGTACAATGTCTCAACCCTTGGAAGAATGTTGTTCTTACTTTTGTTATGTTATTATACCATCATTTGGGAAATAAAATTTGTTTATTGTAACATCAGCATCAGTTGTCTTGGTCAGACTAAGATCCGTCAGATCATTAAATAAAGAGGAGCATGGCAGAAACTGGAAACCAAATGCAACTGTGGCTGGCCGGCCTTGAAAGCTGGGAGGTTCTTTAGGAATTAATGAATTATATATCTATTTCTAAGTTTTAAATTCTAAGTAGTGAATACCACTTTGTGAGAAAATGCTCTCGGGTTTTTATAAAGGTTGGATGTGAATGTGATGTCTTCTTCATCTTATTCATCTCACTTTTCATTTTCTTTTTTGATTATTTTGTGTCTGGCATCGTGCTGTTGGGATCCCTTTCGGCTTTTTGCACTGCTAAAGTTGGAAGGCTAGCACGTTCGTGCATACTGTGAAGTAGGAAGCGTCGGGAAGCCAAAAGGACAGAGTAGTGAAAAACTGCAACTGAACAAAAAAAAAAGCGTTTAAATTTGGGCTTTAGATAATAATGATAAAAAAAATGGAAACTTGAAAGATCTATTAGGCCCAGCCCAAATATTTTGCCCTAAACTGTAACTAATATTATTATGTTATTATTTATTTTGTGTGCTCCTGCCTACATTCTCATCTCGGAAAAACGCCCCTCCGCAACACTTCCCGCATTGTTCCTCTTCCTCTTCTTCTCTGATTTCAGCCTCAGATCAAAACTTCAATAGCCAAAGGTCAGACTTACCTCTCTCTCTCTCTCTCTCTCTCTCTCTTTCTCTTGTTCTATTCCTCTTTTTCAACTCCTATCTTTCTCTCTTTTCCTTTTAGGGTTTTGTTTGCATACTGAAGAAGGTTATAATTTACATTTTGCATATTATAATTTTGATTCACTTGGATAATATAAATATCTTGAATTTCGTGATTGGAAATTTTCTGTCGCAATGATAGGCCCTACGGAATAGACTTGAATTGAATAAACCAAAGTGTCATCTTGATCTGGTGTGTGGGTTATACTTGATTCTCTTCTATATGCTATTTTCAACTTAATAATTTTAACTTTTTAGATTGCTACACGTTTTAGCTATTGCTCTTTATGACATGATTTCAAATGTTGACATTGTTGTTTTATGTACAGAAATTTGGGAATAAGATGAGATTAGAGAAGTGCTGGTTTTGTTCCTCCACCATTTATCCGGGCCATGGTATTCAATTTGTTCGCAATGATGCCAAGGTAAGAGTTTCTGTCCGACTTTTACAATTGCATTTATTTTCTATTCAAATTTTACATAGCTTTATATGCTCTTTAAATTTTTTTTTGTGCTATTAAGTTCTTAAGATCTTATCCGTATTGTTTTATAATGCTACACATTTAGTTTTTTGCTATGGAGTCAACCTTTGATTGATTTGTCGACTGGGACAAATTGCCTTCTTGTCTTTTTCTCACCAGTTATAGTTACTAATGTTGCTGCACTTCTTTGCATGTGCTATATGTCTGTACCCTAAGTTTTGATATGCTACTATATATGTGTATGCTTGGTACTATCAAGATATATGCAGTTTTCAGCAAAATTTAGCAGTGTTAACGTCATGCCAGATTAAAGGCATCAATTAATCATTAATGGTACCGTGTTCCCTACTCTGTGTTGTTCTTGCTGTTTGGAGTGCTTCTAGTTTCTGATGGTCCTACCATTTGCAGATTTTCCGATTCTGTAGATCTAAATGCCACAAGAACTTCAAGATGAAGAGGAATCCCCGTAAAGTGAAATGGACCAAGGCCTATAGGCGTTTGCATGGAAAGGACATGACACAGGTAATAGGCCTAAGGCATCAATTATGGTACTTCTTGTTGCGTTAGTACAATGCTTAAACCTGAACAACTGTATGATATTTTTTCTTTTCTTTTTTTCCTCAGGATTCAACATTTGAGTTTGAGAGAAAGCGTAATAGGCCAGAGAGATATGATAGAAACATTGCAGAGAATACTCTTAAGGCCATTAAAAAGATTGATAAAATCAGATCAGACAGGGCATACGACCACATCAAAAACAGGTTGGTTTGCTTTCATTACAGGTTAAAAGTTATTGTGAGATGCTGCTTTGTACATGGCTTACTCATACTTGTATCTTTGGCAGGCTTAAGACAGGCAAAATCCAAAGGCAGAAACAAGCAAGAAAACAATTGGAGCAGGACATCCACTTGGTCAAAGCTCCGCTTGCTCTTGCGCAAGACTCATCTCTTCACCTTCCAAAAATCACAGTCAATGTCTCCCAAACATGGACGGAAGAGAATCAGCCCATGGAAGAGTGAATTTGGTTGTGTTCTTCCTCCGCTTGCTATTTGTCCATCAGAACGTTGTGCTTGCAACTCCTCACTATAAGTATTAAAGAGTTTTCTGTTGTGTGGAAGCAAACATTTTCCAGAATTTTGAATAGCATATTTAAATGTTATTGTTCTCTCTTTTTCTCTCTCGTCCAGTTTCTAATAATAGAAACACATTAACAGTAAATTGTTATGTTTGTTTTACCCTTTTAAATGTGGTGTTACATGCTTCCAACTAAATATTTGACCTTTGTAGTATGAATGTATGACTTGGATATCTGGACTTCTGTCTTTCTCCAATGCAAGTGTTTATCTGGAGTGTGGGTTTTGGAGTTGGGTGTGGTGGGGTTTTGATTTTTGCACTCCTATTTCCCCCCTGCATTGGTAGTGGCCTTAGAAAGTAGAAACAATAGATTTTTGGGTCACGAACCATGTGTTATTATTGGCAGATGTTGTGTCTTTGACCATTCGCCAGGTGTTAATGGCCGGAAGCGAGTGAGTGTTTTGACGTTGACTCGATTGGTAGGGGCAAATATTAGTAGGTTGCGGCCATTGAAGCCAAAGGAAAGGATAGACAATTGACTACGCATGTGCTGTTAGCAGCCTAACCCTTGCCATGCGTTGAATGTACTCGTACTATGCTTTGAGGGGTTTAATTTGAATTATTAATGAGGTGGAAAAAGAGGTGGTGAAATGGAGGAACGGTGTAATTGATACCTACTAAATTTTTAGTAAGATGCCAAATTTCAGGGTTGAACGGTTATTGCCTTCTCCTTTTTTCGTCAGTGAAGTTTGAGTTAAACTGAGGGGCTGACACTTGACTTGAGAGGGCCGCATGTCTACCATATTTTTTATTATAATTTTGTAATTATTTAATCATAATAAGAAATTTATATAAATAATGCGAAATTGAAAACCGATGACTGGAAGTCTGGAACGGCCCATGTTCTCCAGGCAAGCTATGCTATGCTTCTCTTTTTTAGTACTTCTACCAGGGTGATAATAGCTTGAAATAAAGAAAAGGTTGTTTGAAATTTAAATATTAAATATATTCTTTTAACTGACTATATGAATTAAATTTAAATTTTTTTAAAATATTTTTCAAGCACCCTAATTCTACTTTATGTGGGCCAAAAGTAAAGAAAATTCTGAAAAAAAATTGGCACTTGATTTTCATTGCTTTGTTTCCCAATTAATTAATTAAATAAATATAATAAGCTAACCCGGACACCAAATGAAAACATTCCATTTCACTTGAGTATCGAGTTTTTATTTCCAACCTCCCCCAGTCGGCCGCATGCGAATATCATTAAAAATTATTGAATAACAAGCACAATTAGTGGTAAGAAAAAAGAATCCCAAACCGAACCTTCCATCCTCAATCTCTGACCCGTACCAAAATTCTTGTCTAAACTTGAGTTTCAGTTCAAGTTTCCACTAGACAGCAGTTGTAGTTGCAGACTGGTGGATCTTTATTCCTCTTCCTAACTCATCTTTTCAACTATTAATAACAATAATACAAAATTTATCATAAAATGGCTGCTACGCCAACTGCAGCTCCACAACAAGAAAAAACCCTCCAACAACAACTCTCCCTCCCAATCATCTTAGCCGACCGACTCATCAAATCCGCTCAAGAAGCCCAGTCTTCCAGATTCGAATGCGCCGAGCTCGCCAAACAAGTCGACCGTCTCTCCCAGATGCTCCGCTCCTTCGTCCGTCTCTCCACCACCGCCAACTCCACAGTCTACGATCGTCCCGTCCGCCGTATCGCCTCCGACATCACTAAAACCCTTGAGCGTGCCCTCTCCCTCACTCGCAAGTGCCGTCACAGTGGTCCCCTCCGCCACCTCTTCTCCATAACAACCACCACGGATTTCCGCAAAGTTTCGAATCTTCTCGAATCTTCCATCGGCGACACGCGTTGGCTGCTTTCCCTTTTCGACTCGGACGGAACCAATCTTTCCCTTCCTCCTATCGCCAGCAACGACCCCATTCTCGCTTGGGTTTGGTCTTACATATCAACAATCCACATGGGCCCATTAAAAGATCGAGCCGATGCCGCTAACGAACTCGCTTCCTTAGCCAAAGATAACGACCGCAACAAAAAAATGATCGTTGAAGAAGGCGGGGTTTTACCGCTACTCAAATTGTTAAAAGAAGGAGCTTCCCCTGAAGCGCAAATCGCGGCGGCTAATGCGCTTTACAATATCGCAACTGATGAAGAAAGAGTTAGACTAATCACGGACGTAATGGGAATCCCTATAATTGTAGGGGTTTTAGGAGAAGCTCAAATGAAAGTTCAAATAGTGGTCGCGAATTTAGTGGCGAGAATGGCGGAGATGGATTCGGTTGCGAGGGAAGAGTTTGTAAGAGAAAATGTTACGAGAAAGTTAGTCTCTTTGTTGTCTATGGATTTAGCTTTGGAAGTGGTCAAGCCTCAAACTGGGAAAGCTAGTATTCATTCCATTGTTCAAATGAATAAGGAGATGACTGATAAGTTCTCCAGGCATCCCAAATTGTTGTCGATCCCGGCCCACACCTCCTCGTTTTTGGATGGGAGTACTAGAGGTAGGAAAGAGAGGGAAGCGGAGAGTCCTGAGCTGAAGCTTATGTTGCAAGTTAATTGTGCAGAGGCTTTGTGGAAGTTGTCCAAAGGGAGTTTATCCACCAGTAGGAAAATTACAGAGACAAGAGGGTTACTTTGTTTGGCAAAAATTATAGAGAAAGAGAAAGGGGAGTTGCAATTTAATTGTTTGATGACAGTTATGGAGATTACAACAGTTGCGGAGTCTAATGCTGATCTTAGGCGTGCAGCTTTCAAGACTAATTCACCTGCTGCAAATGCAGTTTTGGATCAGCTTTTGAGAGTAATTCAGGAAGAAACTAGTCCAACTCTGCAGATTCCGGCTATTAGGTCAATTGGGTGTTTGGCTCGAACTTTTCCTGCAAGAGAAACAAGAATAATTGGTCCTTTGGTCAATAAGCTTAGTAATAGTAATGTGGAAGTAGCTATGGAAGCTGCTAATGCACTGGGGAAGTTTGCTTCTCCAGATAATTTCAATGGTTCAGAGCATTCAAAGGCAATTATTGACTTTGGTGGGGTCCCACCTTTGATGAGATTGCTGCGTATTAATGATCAAGTTCAAGTAGATGGACTTGTCTTGCTATGTTATTTGGCATTGAATGCTGGCAACAGCAAGGCCCTTGAACAAGCACGGGCATTGAATGCTCTTGAAGGGGCTGCTCGTTCTGTGGTAGTTCTGTATACCGATTTGAGAGATTTGTTGGCTAAAGCTATACATCATCTGACCCTTTACCAAGCTGGAGGCCTTCCCCACAGGCAGTCTTTTGCACCGTAAGCTGCTTTGATGATTCAAATGTACGTCTTCTCTTTGATTATAGCACAGATGAACATACTGACACTTGGGAGAGATGTTGGGGATTAGAAAAGATTTATGAGGGGTCATTCACGAAATGGATTGATCATCTTAATGATATTGTTGATATGTCTCAAAAAAAAAATGAATGTATGTATGGAAAGCATATCTATATTAATTGCACAAAAGTTAAAAAAATTTTCTCAGCAAAAGCAATTTAACGTCACAAGTTTATTTCTCTAGTGTTACATGTTTTTGCGCACTCTCTTAAAAATGTGTCTTCCACTAATAAGAGAGGATCTATCTTAGTTAGACTATTGTTCTCTGTTATCTACAAACTTTTTAAGGGCCAATGGTAAGTAATTTCGAACTATTTTCTGTTCTTTAATCATTGATCTGATCATGCTATTCAGTCAGCCGGCTATAAATGTTTGCATCCTTGAGGCAAATTTACTGTCTGCTTTCTTTTGCAAGAGATCATATCACAATGTTATGAAGTTTTTTTATTCTTTGTCATGGTTTTCCTGTTATAAATTAGTGTGGTTCTTGGTTGCATTGATTGTAGTCGTGCCTAAGGACATAGTTCTTTTTTCCTGCTTTTCTTTCTTCAGTATGTGGACTTTCTGCAGTTATTGCATTATTTACTTACCTTTATCCATTTCTTTTCCCCTCTTTCTTATGGAAAAAGGAACCTTAGTTTATCATGATTAAGTCTTTTTTCTCAGTAGCCGTCTTAGAATATTCTTCATTTTGAGATTGCATGAAAAGATGTCATAGAAGAGATAATGAAGGTTAAGAGAATAAGATAAGATCATAATACTCTTATAGATCAGAGAAAGTTCCAGCATGTACAACGTCACAATTTGAAACATATTCAAAGATGAGCAATATTCATTTTCTTTAGTCATTCATTCATTGGGGAGCCATAATTAACCTCCTCTTCAGAAACGTCTGTAGAAATTGTATGACACTGAAGTGTGATCTTCAGCATTTTGTATTTTTCTTCACCGTGCAAATGAGGTCTTCAAAATCAGAAACACTCACGAAGCATCAAAATTGGTTGACTTTTTACTCATCCAGTCTTTTGTTCATTCATGGACTCTACAGAGGTTGTGAGTGATGTTGCAACTTGCATTGAAATTCTTTATAGATCTTTTCAAAATGTTTCCTTTCTTTGATGGGGAAATTGATGGAGAGGACATTCAGCAAGAGATGAATGAATTGGAGAAGTTCATTGGAAGTCCATTAATTATGGAGTATGGCCTGAGGTTTTTTTTTTTTTTTGCCCAGTGGCTTGAGGATGAAATGATCAATTCTTTTGAGCCTAACCTGTTAAATTTTCAGAGTAATTGTAAATTATAGGGGAGTAAATCAACTAAAGCACTGTTGAAGCTTTGTCAGATTTAAAAAGGAGCACTCCTGATTTTCAAAGTAAGAAGCGATGGAATTCAACCATTCTTTTTGGCATCATGTATCGTGAAGATAGAGCAATTTGCAATGGTGGAGGCTTTTAGACAATTGATCTACCCAATCTGGCTTTTCTAGGAACAACTTAATCAGGGCGAGTATGCCTTTTGAATTGCTGTTGAAGCCACTTCATAGCTGGCTATCATTCAAGGCAGAGTGTTACGATTCATGCAGGCAATACAGCTATGACGGTGAATTCTGTTCAGGTATGTTTCTTCACTGCACTTATAGTATTCAAAAGCAAATGCATAGTAGTGTTTGCTGCAATGACACTTTCTTATTGTATTTTTTTATCATTTATTGAAAGTTTTCCCAGCATTTTGAATGCTTATTCTGAAAGACTTGTGCTGCTTAGGTTGCCGTGGCTTGTAAAAGTACAAAGAGATGTATTGGGTTGTTCCGAGGACTTTCCATATTTGCAACTATTATTATTATTATTAAATAAATGCATAAAGTAGAATAAGATTTTTCCCCCAGTCCTTGAAGGAAGCCTGTATCTGATTCTGTCATACAAGTTTTAGTATAATATTTGCTTTGAGGAAATGTTTGTGTGTGAAAGTGAAACCGTGAATACAACCTAGCTGTCTCTTAGTTATTTTGTGAAAACGTTGATAGCTGAAGATTCTGTCATACAAGTTGTAGTCATTTGTTGCTTTCCAGATCATCCAATCCAACAATGTAAAAGCTGTAGTAGTACAAAATGTGGCATATGCTTTTCTTTGTCTGAGGGGCTAGGATGAGATGTATAACAACCACTTATGCTCATGGTGGTGCCCATGTTAATGCCTGGTTCTTTCCTTGCACTCGCCACTGGGCAATGAATTGAATAATGCCAAATTGGCCGATTCTATTCACCTTTCCTTCCCTTCCACTCGCCACATGCATGTTTATTGACTTGAGTCTTCTCCACAAACTACATCTTTTGATTTTGTCCTTCTGATCACTAGCAAAGCCACAAAAAGAACATCTTAAAAATGTTGCGCTACCAAATACAAATAGTTACTCAAAGCGGTCGAGTCTCCTAAACATAATTAGACCTTCCACCACCCAAAATTCAACTTTTACCTAGAACACTGCGGCAGCGATGATCGCACGGACTTTAGAGTCAGACCATTAAAGGTCCACTGCAGGGTGTGGTCCCATTGTGATAAACCCAACAAGCTGAAGTTTTTGAGTCGAACCATGGTGGTTTCAGTGGGCTACCTTATGATTTATTGGATGTGGTCTCGTGGAAAGTCTTGATTCATTTGTGCCGAAATGCAAAGAAATCGAGTCCCAGTCCACTCATAAAGGAAATGATACTGCCCCTGATAGCACCCTTGGGTTTCGTGGAATTTGGATTTCGGCTTGTCTTCTTTACCGATTCTAGGATTGCGATTTGTGAGGTGTGTTACTTTCAAACTTCCTTGACAACAGACCACGGTCATAGGAAGTTCCTTTTCTATATTTTAACAATGAGTGTGGTAATTAATTATCTCCAACAGCTTTAACTGGGTCCAAGTTGCCAAGCAGTTCTTTGAATTTATCTCATCAAAACAATAGAGATCCTTGGTTTCAGTCTTTGAGAAAAGACGCAAGAACTTGGAAGACGTAAAATTACCCTGTAAAAGCTAACTGGACACTTTATTTATTTATTTTTGTTAAACATAAATAAGGTGTGGTGAATTGGCAGATATATCCATTATGGGCAGACGCAAGAGGGCCCGAATGTAGTTTTATACTACTAAAGACGATTAATTTGAGAATCACAATCGCTAATATTGAGTTGTGTTTATATACAGCTTGAGTATGTTTCAAACTCTATAATTCAGACTTGAGAGGCTGCCTTGCTTTGTTAATTTTACATCAAGAGTTATGCTAGCCTAGCTACTCTCTGTTTATAGCTATATTTATCACCTGCCATTCCCACAGAAGAGACACACAAATTTGATTTTGGAATTAGTTTTCGGTTACAAGCAAGGGAATGAGAAGATTGTTATATAAAATAATATGGAAATTTGAGTTGAACCAAACTTTGTTGAACAAACGGGGTTGGATAGCGATGCGTTATTCATCTTAATGCTAAACAGACAATTCATGAAATATGTTCTCACAAGTCTGTTGGTTTTAAATCACCGACGGGGCAGCTGATAGAGACATGAAATGAAAGCACCTTTTTCATGCTTGTCATTAATTAGGTAACTTTATCTTTGATGAGAAGCGAGCTACAACAAATTAGCTTTAACCCCAAGAAATTAAGCACCTAAATGTTCATTTATTATGTAATTTAAGGCTCCCCCCTTCCTTCCCCTTTCATGTTAATATTATGTTTATGATAATCGTTACTGTTAAAGCAAACACTGCAATTAATCCCATGAAGAAGCTTATTCGCTATAGTATACTTGTAGTCGTTATAATTTGCTGGCTCTTAATCACTTCCAGATTTAAGGATATTAATTTGTAATATGCTCTGATGAAAGTCAATAGCTGATTTAAATGCCTTTTCGAGATTGTGATAATTTCTCCATTAACCTTAACAATTTCTAGCTTATTTACCTTTCAATTTCAGTTTAGTCTCAAATAAATTTTAATTATTATGGTAGAATATCTCGTCCCATTGAAAATTATATTTGACTTTTTTTAAAGTAAATTTATTATTTGACTTTTTGTCTTTTTTTTTCGCTTCTGTTGATGGAAAAAAATGAAGCATCTGGCTGGCTAGCTAACTATATGCAGTATTTATGTTTCTTTTAGTTATTAATTTTCTTTCCAAAATTTGACGTCATTGCTTTTCTTATGATTCTTGTAATTGTAGGCTAAGCTCCGAGTATTATCACCCCTGATACCTGTTTGAAGAATGTTACTGTCATTGAAATGCTTCAACTTCACCGTTTTACGTCATGTTTGGTCGGAGAATTGTAATTCCATTTTTCCAAATTTTTTATTATTATTTGATTTATTTTTTTAGCAAACAATAGCTATTTCATGACATCAATTTTTTTAAAATAAAAAAATAGTAATTCTTTGTTTTCCTTTGGAATTATAATTTCTTATCCATAAGAAATTAATAATAATTTTATTAATAATTTTGTCCTAATATATTTAATTAATTACAATTTTATCCTTACATATTTTTATAAAATTTAATTATATACTTAACTAATATTAATTTAATTAAATAAAATTATAAAAATAATTAATACAATAATACTCAAATATTATTAAAATAATATTTAACATATAATGTTTTTCAAATAATATTACCATATTATGAAATAAATATTATAATATTTATTAAAATAATATTTAATATTAAAATATTATTAACTTAATAATAAAATTTTAACAAATTATTAACTTAATATTGAATATAACATTAGTTAAATAATATGAAAATATTATTCAATTAATATTAAATAATAAAAACCATTAAAGTAATATGTAACGTTGACACTCATCTGGATTGATTTTCATCATTATTATTACTATTATTTTTTATTATTATTAGTATTATTATTTGTTATTATTATTACTGTAGTATAGTATGCTATTTTTATTATTATTATTATTATTATTATTATTATTATTATTATTATTATTATTATAGTTTATTATTATAATATAGTATTATATGTTATTATTATTATATTATTATTATAGTTATTAGTATTATTACTTTTATTATTTTTTTATTATTATTTTTTTTTTTTTTAACTATCATTGAATGAGGGAATGGAAATTTGGATTGAATTCAATTCATTCAGTCAAATGATCTTAATTTAGTACCTAAACCAAAGGCTTTTGATTTCACCTAAATAAACTTGCAAAAATTTAGCCAAGAGCCAAGAATCATGCTCAGACAGAACCAACCTAGGCTTAAATCATAAGATTGAATTTTGTCTGATCCCTAAAATTTATACTAAAGTGGCCTATAAATTGGACAAGAGACCACAGAACAATACAGTTGATTTTAGGGGGTTAATTTGGAAGGAAGAAAAACTTTTCGAAAATATTTAGGGGTTTTAAGTTTTTACTAGGATTTTTAGGATTTAGGTTTCAGAAATTTTGGATTTGAATTTCTAGGTGTGATTTAAAGATTCTGGATTTCGATTCTTGGGGTTAGGATTAAGTTTCTAAAGCGATCTGGAAAATTTGAGAAATTTTTAGGTTTTTTTGAAAATTTTGGGTTTTTTAGGATGAACATTTGAATTTTCCAATGAGTTTTTCGATGAATGTTGAAGTTTCCGGTAGAATTCCGATAAAATTTTCAAAAATCGACAACCAAACCTAATTTTCGGTGGTGTTCTTGGCTAGCAGATGATTTTCCACGCTAGAGAGAGAGAGAGAGAAGACCAAGGCTTTTAAAGCAAAAATGCTAAAGATTGGATTTTATACCGCTCTAATATGATACTATTTTGAAGGTCTCAGAATCCGCGCATGACTCGTTGACCTACGTGCGGACTCGCGCACTGACCCAATTCGAATTGCAGGTTTCCCTTTTCTATTTTTATTTTGTTTTTCAATTTCAATTTCTTTTCATTATATTTTTCTCATATTTTGAATTTTATTTTATTACCAATTTTTTTCTTATTTTAATGGTTTTCTCATTTATTTATTTTTCTTAAGTAATTTATTATTTGCTAAATATTTTACAAAATAAAAGATTTCCTTTCTAAAAAAATTGATAAAAAGAATAATCAAAAAAAAAAAAATTTTTTTTTTCTAATAAATTCATGAATTTTACTAAACTATAAAAAAATTTGCATGGATTCAAATTTTATAGAATCCACCAAATTATTGGGAAGTTTCATAAATAATTTTTTTTTAAAAAAATTTATCCTCCAAACTATTGGAGGATTTGCTTTTTGAATTAAGTCTTATCAACGTATTAGGAGATTTAATTAACTTTTAAAAAAAAAAGAATTAAAATTTTTGTAAATGTTTTTACAATAAAATCTCATAAAATTATTAGGAGGTCTACCTCAAGGTAAAGCCTATCAAACTATTGAGAGACGTATTAATTTTTTTGAATAAAATACATTAATAAATCTGATGATAGAGCCTTTTCAAAGTGAGACATTAGTCTCAATGAATATTTATGAGGTGAGAGAATGATCTTAAATAGCTATCAAATTATTGGGGTCATTTTAAGATTAATTTTCAATATTAAATATTTCGATAAAACATAAATATTGTTAGGTTTGGATAATTTAGAAATTGGTATCATCTTTTGGATGGGCACTGTGAGAGTGTTATAATTTTCATCACACGTAACCATACTTTTGAACCTAAATATGATTTCATGGATAAGATTTAATCAGGTGGCCAATTACACCTAAATAAAAAAATATTGGTGATGACTCTTTTAATCCTTGTCTAACGATAGGTCCATGGATCTATATGTTATGACATGTAATATTAAAAAATTATTAAAATAAATTAAATATTAAAATAATTTTAAAATAATATTAAATACTAAAATATTACAAAATTAATATTTGGTATAAAATATGTTTAAAATAATACTAAATATGAAAATATTAGTAAAATAATTTTTAGGATTAAATTATTATTTAAATAATATTAAAATTTTAAAAATTAAAATAACAATAAATTATTATAAAATTAATTAATGAATATTATAATATTATTAAATTAAAATTAAATATTAAAATAACATTAAAAATTAAATTTTGTTAAATTAATATTTAATATAAAAAGGTCATTAAATTAATATTTAAATCTTAAAATTGAAATATTATAAAAATAATATTAATATTAAAAAATCATTAAATTAATATTTATTAAAAATATTACCAAATATTTAATATTCTTTAATTAATATTTAATATTATTTAATTAATATTTAGTATTATTAAATTTAATATTGAATATGATTAAATTAATATTTAATAATGATCAATAGTATTTAATAGTATTAAATAATAGTTAATATTATTAAATTAATATTGAATATGATAAATTAATATCGACTAATATTTAGTATAAAAATATTATTCAGATGAAATTAAAATTTGAAGAATTAATAATTTAATATTTAACATGAAAATAAATTTAAAATTTTATATAAATATTTAATATTCAACTATTATTAAATTAATATTTAGAATAAAATATTATTAAAATATTAAATATATTTTATTACTATTTAATATTATTAAATTGAATACTTAATATGAATAAATTAATATTTAATATTGTTCAATAATATTTAAAATTACTAATAATAGTTAATTTTATTAAATTAAAATTTAATAATATTAATTATTAATATTTTATTTATTTTATTAATTAATAAATTTGTTACTAAATTACAAGGGTAAAATAGTTTATTAAACTAATTCTATTTATATTCTTTAAACTAACCAAACATATTA